GATGCAGGCTTTTGTAAGAGGAAAAGAGATCTGAGCTGGACACACATTCTCAGCTTTGCCGTGGAACAACTTCCAGCCAGCCTGGGATTCGACCAGACTTCAATGTGGATGCCCTTGGATTTCTGAGTCTCCTGAGTCCAGAGCTTATAACTAAACCTTTAAACTTTATAAGTCAACCAGTCTGTGGAGTCCAGTTATAGCAACAAAAAATGGGTGGAGTTCACTGGAGCCAAGTCTCTTCTATTACTTCTTAGTTGCAAGAACTCGGTGTTTGTTGTTGGCAACTGAAAAACCCTGATTTTCTATCCTACAGTCTTGTACCTGGAATTTGGCTTTAACTAGCACGTGAAAAACATATATTCTGAAATAAAAACTGCTATCTTTCCTCCAAATAGTAATAGACTGGTTGCGGTTTTTGAGGTTAGATCAGTTGCTTTTCAGCAATTACCCCTGAAAAACTATGTGTTCATTAGTACTCTTATTTTACAGGCAGCATACCAAAAAAATAAAATCACCAAGACATATTTGCTGCACGGTGGCCATAAATAGACGTGCTGGTTGGGTAATACGTGGCTACTTAGGACAGTGTTCACTTTATACTCAGCAGTGTGAGCTCCAACTAGCACATTCGTTGGATGTGGTGGTCTTACAAATTTCATGTACCCAAAAAAAAAATTATCTACTTCTTTGTTCTAACTTAGCAGCAATTTATTCAATCCAGTGTGTAAATTGCATATGCAAAAATTTCTGTATTACCTACCATTGACACACACTGATAATGATAGCATAATTAGCCTGTCAAACATCTAGTGCACGGTTTTAACTATTGGAAATATATGAATAAAATAAAATAATGAGTCATTATTTTATAGGAAGTAAGAGTCCTTTGCAAGGTGAAGTATGATGCCAAGAAGGCATCTGACTCCATGCCGACAGACTCTGCTGGGAGTTATTTATGTCCCATTTTGGTGGTGGCTGTTTATTTCTTCAAGGCTTGGAGACACAGATGGCACAGCTGTTTTCTTGAACAGTGTCATTAATATATTTAACTCGTGAATGCTAATTATATGTTTCTGAGTGCAGCAAATCTATCTGCCTTTGCACTGGCCTCTGATAAAGCACATGGAATTTAAGCAGACTGATACTCCAATATGCTCTGGTAGCCTGATACACACTTCTTTCTCTAACTTTCAATAAATCTTTTAAAAAGAAACAACAACAACAACAACAAAAGACATTGCAGCTACTTCTATTGCCCAAGGATCATTGATTATATAGTTAGAATTCAAGAAGATAGATGGAACCCAGAATATTTTCTGTGCATCAAATGCATTGACAAATGACAAAATAGAAACTACAGCCAGGTCTGGCGTGGTAGCCTAGCAGCTAAAATCCTCACCTTGAACACCCCAGGATCCCATATGGGTGCTAGTTCTAATCTCGGCAGCTCCACTTCCCATCCAGCTCCCTGCTTATGGCCTGTGAATGCAGTTGAGGATGGCCTAAAACCTTGGGACCTTGCACCCACGTGGGAGACCCAGAGGAGGTTCCTGGCTCCTGGCTTTGGATCAGTGAAGCACCGGCCATTGGGGTCACTTGAGGAGATCTTCCTCCCTGTCTCTCCTCTCTGTATATCTGACTTTGCAATAAAAATAAATACATCTTAAAAAAAAAAAAAAAAAACTACAGGGCCCGGCACAATAGCATAGCAGCTAAAGTCCTCGCCTTGCACGTGCCAGGATCCCACCCATATGGTCGCCGGTTCTAATTCCAGTGGCCCTGCTTCCCATCCAGCTCCTGCTTGTGGCCTGGGAAAGTAGTTGAGGACAGCCCAAAACCTTGGGATCCTGCACCCACGTGGGAGACCTGGAAGAGCTCCTGGCTCTTGGCTTTGGATCGGCCCAGCTCCAGCCTTTGCGGTCACTTGGGGAGTGAACCATCACACGGAAGATCTTCCTCTCTGTTTCCCCTCCTCTCTGTATATCCCGCTTTCCAATAAAAATAAATAAATCTTAAAAAAAAAACAGCCACAAATAGCTACCAGTACACTGACAAAAAATATTTAAAAATAATCTCATCTGCAATTGACCACAATTGTGTGTTTGAATGGCAACAATGACAAAAGCATCACTGTTCGTTTTGGAAAAAAAAAACCAACTATAATTATGCCTCACTTCAGTTTAATCATTTTGTGAAATGTTATTAAAATACTAATTTCCAAATCGAGTTGTAGTGGAGAACTTAAAGTCAAAATCCTTTCATTGACATTGCTGATATTTATATATCATGTCTTAAGTGCTTTTGCAGTCATAATTTTTTTAAATAACCTTAGGTTAAGAAAGTATTGATACCTTATATGTTTTACAGATCAGAAAACTAATTGGCAAAGTTTAGTAACTTGCTCAAAGCTACACATTGCCTAAGTGGTGAAACTGGACCTTAACCCTGAACCTAAGTCTGAATTGTTGACCATATATTAAGATGAAACATTTCATTTCTTTTTCTTTGGAGTACGACACCTGTTCTTTGAACTACACATAAGAATCACCTGCCGTCCTTGGTTAAAAGTCGGATTCTTACGTATGCAATACTACGTCTGAGTGGTGGCCGAGGTCACAAAGTGCTGCACAACCAGGTTCTCACATGATTCAGTTAGGATGGCCTGACACGTGGGTTTCAACCAAAACCGCCCAAAGCACACACAGGTGCTACTTATTCAGCTTGCTCAAAATCAGGCAGGGAAGCAGGAATGCTGTGTAAAAAATAAATAAAAGTCCCAGATATACCCTGGAGGCCCTGGCATGGGAAAAGTGGGGACTGACTACAGGAAGCAGGGGTATTTTACGTGATTGGTTTGGGGGAACCCATTTGGCTTTCTCTGGTTGGTCCTGATGTAGAAATCAGGATAAAAATTGACTGCCAGAGGCTGTGGTTTGGCTTTCTGGGCTGCTGCTTCATGGCTCAGTTCTGTCGTACGTGGTCTGGCCAAGGTCCATCTGTACGTGCTGTCTGGGGTCATACTCTGGAGACACAGTGCTGACTTCCTTCTAACCGCCTTCCTCGCTCCAGGTGGCTGGACTATAGGCTCCTCTAGGAGGAGTGCTCACACCTATCAGGCCTACACAAGGCACTTTAACGGAATATGGCTAAGGAATGACAAATGGTAATACTTGATATCAACTTTTATTGGTACCCTCTCCCACTACCACCAAAAGGAATTTTTTTGGTGCAGTACAGGGACAGTCTTGATGTGACCAGACGGGTTGTCACCAGAAAGGCTGGAGATGGCTCCTTGCAGCTTCTGTGCTCCAAATACAGTAACGCGAATCCCAGCCTCCAGATTCTGTCTCAGATTGTGTGCCCCACAGTCTTAGAGCTTTTCGGTTAACCCGTGAAGAGCCTATAGGTGCTGGAAGCTGCAGCTGAGGGCTCCGCTGGGGGATGCGTGGGTGGGGTAGGGGGACAGTGGGTGGCAAAGTGGACAGTTTGTGGAAAAGTGCCGGCTACTCCTACTTCACTTTTGAAGTCAATTCCAATCCCAGACCATTAGTCCGGTTGCATCCTCTTCTCACTTTCCCTACGCTGAAGGCCTGGGCCAGTGAGAGCTCCTGAGGGGACACACACAAGGCCTTCATTTCAGGAGTCACAGAGTTCATCTGAGAGAAGAAAACTGGAGGGAGAAGGGTGCATGGTACGCATTTTAGTGAGAGAGTCCAAGGCCGAAGGGGAAAGCCAGCGGTCTCCTGAGGGAAGCCTTCCCACCTGCTGCGGGCGAAGCGCTGGGGAAGGGCGGCAGGCAGCCGCGCGCCCGCCCCGCCTCTCCCGCCGCGCGGCCCCGCGCCAGGGGTTCCCGTGAGTGACCCCGCGCCCAGGACGCGCAGGGGGCTGTTTGGGTGGGGGCGGGGGAGCCGCCGGGGCACCAAAATAGGAGCCGCTTGTGGTCTGGAGCTGCACTAGCAGGCAGCCTCCGTCGCGCCTCTACCAAAGATGGTCAGAGGGTCCGGAGGCGCCCCCACCCCCGCTCGCTGGTAGCCTTGCGGGCCGGCACCGCGTTCCGAAGCAGCCACCGGAGGTAGGTGCGGTGCGGACCTGCTGCCCGGGGGCCAGCCGGGCGACGACTGAGCGGGACCGAGCGCGGGAGAGCGAGGCCGCGCCGCCCGCCGAGCCCGCCGGCGGCAAACGAACGGAGACAATGGCCGCGCGGGCGCCGGGCCGGGCCGGGCGCAGCGCGTGGGGCCGCCCGCAGCGCTCCCCGCCGGCCCACACCTGTTCCGGGCGCCCGGCTGAGGGACGCGGGCAGCGGGCCCGGCGGGCGGCGCTCGGTGCCCTGGACGCGAGTCCCCCGCGCCGGGGCCCCGGGGCGGAGCGCTCTCCGGGCGGGAACCCGAGCCTGGGGCCCAGGCGCGGGGCGCGCGGAAACCCCTGCGGCCGGAGCCGGGGAAGGGGCGCGGGCCTTGGGTCCCTCCGCTGGTTTCTTGTGCGCGAAGCGAAAAGGCACGAGGTTTCCTTTTCTTCAGGTTTCTTCTAGTGCATTTAGATTTTGGTCACCCCCCATCCATGCTTCTTGACATGCCGGTGTGATTTGAAAGAAAAAAGGAGTGAGGAGTGAGGTGCAAGTGGGGCCGAGCGGATGCGGCCAAAGGACAGGGCTCTGCCAAGTGTGGGATCACTTCTCTTCACCGGCCCGGGCGAGATTGCGGAGACTGAGTGAATGCGGTAGCCAAGTCAGTGTTGCTTCTTAAAGGGCAAATGAAAAATGCGGGGGGGGGGGGCGCTCGTTTTTGGCTCGAAGCCGCTCTCAGAATTTATTTTGACCACTCTGTAAATTATAAAGCAGTCCGCCCACATTTTGCATTTTTCGCCTTAGGCTGTTGAACTTAGTGTAGGTTTCTGAATGATTTCCATGCTTATCCGTCATTCCAGTGAGTTACCTAGCATCCATTGTTAGAGGTAAAATGCAAAGTTGAAAACATTTTATTTACCTCCTTTTAATTGCAGCCATGGCTCTCAAAGGACAAGAAGATTACATTTATCTCTTCAAGGATTCCGCACATCCTGTGGACCTTCTGGATGCCTTCAGAACATTTTACCTGGATGGATTATTTACTGATATCACCCTTCAGTGTCCTTCGGGCATCATCTTCCATTGTCACCGAGCTGTGTTAGCTGCTTGCAGCAATTATTTTAAGGCCATGTTCACGGCGGACATGAAAGAAAAATTTAAAAACAAAATCAAACTCTCTGGTATCCACCATGATATTCTAGAAGGCCTTGTCAATTATGCATATACATCCCAGATTGAAATAACGAAAAGAAACGTCCAGAGCCTGCTCCAGGCAGCAGATCTGTTGCAGTTCCTCTCCGTGAAGAAGGCTTGCGAGCAGTTCTTGGTAAGACACCTGGATATTGACAATTGTATTGGGATGCACTCCTTTGCAGAGTTTCACATGTGTCCAGAACTAGAGAAGGAATCTCGGAGAATTCTGTGCTCGAGGTTTAAGGAAGTGTGGCAACAAGAAGAATTTCTAGAAATCAGCCTTGAGAAGTTCCTCTTTATCTTATCGAGGAAGAATCTAAGTGTTTGGAAAGAAGAAGCTATCATAGAGCCAGTGATTAAGTGGACCGCCCATGATGTGGAAAAGCGAATTGAATGCTTGTATAATCTGCTGAGCTATATCAACATCGACATTGATCCAGTGTATTTAAAAACAGCATTAGGCCTTCAAAGAAGCTGCTTGCTAACAGAAAATAAAATCCGCTCTCTAATATACAATGCCTTGAATCCCATGCATAAGGAGATTTCCCAGAGGTCCACAGCCACAATGTATATCATTGGAGGCTACTACTGGCATCCTTTGTCAGAAGTCCACATATGGGATCCTTTGACGAATGTTTGGATTCAGGGAGCAGAAATACCAGATTATACCAGAGAGAGTTATGGGGTTACATGTGTGGGACCCAACATTTATGTCACTGGGGGCTATAGGACGGATAACATAGAAGCTCTCGACACAGTGTGGATCTATAACAGTGAAAGTGATGATTGGACAGAGGGTTTGCCAATGCTCAATGCTAGGTATTACCACTGTGCAGTCACCTTGGGCGGCTGTGTCTATGCCTTAGGGGGTTACAGAAAAGGAGCGCCAGCGGAAGAGGCCGAGTTCTATGACCCTTTAAAGGAGAAATGGATCCCTATTGCCAACATGATTAAAGGTAAGCACGATGTTGTGTAATCTGTCTTGTTTAGATATTTGGGGTTAGATTAACATGCGATGCTCTTACACATAACATTAGAAACATTGATCATTTTGACATCTTATAAGATGGATAGTAGATTGTGCAAATAATGATGTACAGATTGCTACAGTCCCTTTTACATGTAAGAAATCAATAATTCATCTTACTGGTATCAAGTGTTAAAAATGTGTTTACAAGAAAATAAATGCCTGTGTAAGTCAGAAGCTAACTGGGGGGCCCCGGCGTGAAGGCCTAGTGGCTAAATCCTTGCCATACATCTGCTCGGATGCCATATGGGTACTGGTTCATATCCCGGCTGCTCTGCTTCCCATCTAGCTCCCTGTCAGTGGCCTGGGAAAGCAGAAGAGGACAGCTCAAAGCCTTGGGACCCTACACCCACCTAGCAGACTCCCAAGAAGCTCCTGGCTCCTGGCTTTGGATCAGCTCAGCTCTGGTTGTCGTGGCCACTTGGGGAGTGAAGCCTCAGACAAAAGATCTTTCTCTCTGTATTTTCTTCTTTCTGTATATCTGCCTGACCAATACAAAATTAAATAAATATTTTAAAAAGAAAAAAAACCAGCTAACCTGGGGAGTTAGTATGTACTCTAGTGGTTCACATGTCTGCCCACCCCCCCTTTTTTGGATTTGATTTCAAGTCCTGGGTCCTAGCTCCTGGCTTCCTGCTGGGAAGCAATGGTGATGGGCCAAGTTCTTGCCACCCAGGTGGGAGACCTGGGTGGTATTCTGGTTCCTGGCCTTTGGGGAATGAACCAGTGCATGGGTAAAGTGTGTGTGTATGTCTCACACACTGGCTCTTTTTTCCTCTCTGCCTGCATCTCAAATAAATAAAAATGCTAGTAGAAGAGAAAGATCTGGTTTTATGTTTGTTTGTTTGTTTTTCTGCTTGCTTTTGGAATCAACCCCCTTTCAGTTCTACTAAGTGGTATTTTTTCCTCTCAGAATTTGCTGATCAGCTCTGAAGACGTCTTTCATTAATACCTTGGAAGGTTTGGTTTCCAGTGCTTTTAACAAACTATGTTCTCCAAAGAAGCACATGGCTTGGTGAGGCAGGGCAGGGGGCTGAGAGGGCAGGCTGGTGTTAGAGAAGAGGGGCAGACAGAAATACTCTCGAGACCCAGCGAACCAGGCTCCTTGGTGTTTCTCTGTGTCTGCTAAACTTTGTATTTTCTGCTATCTTTGTTGGTAGATGAGCCTTGCTTTCCTTTCCTCCCACGGGGAAAAAACGTTAAAATGGAACCATTAAAATGGGAGCTGTGTTTCATGACATCTTTTCATTAGTGCAAGGAGATGTGCAAAACAACCAGTAAGTTGTTACCAAATTTGTGGCGTTACAGCCCAGATATTTCTTCCCAGGCCCTTCTGTTTCTTTTTTAGTACTAGTGAGGCTGTGGGAATTTGACCTGGTCTGGAAATCCGACTTGCTGTGATTGTTGGGTGACAAGCAGGAAGCCTGGGAGGCCAAGTGGCTCTGTGATCAGACACACTGCTTCTGGGAAATCCCAGCTTCCCACTTGCCTACTGGTCAGTGTGGGTAAGGTCACCCTGTGCCCTGACGTAGTCATCTATACAGTGGGGAAAAATTAAATTATTTTATGCTTGTGAAGGATTAAATTAATTTATGCTGTGAAGTTCGTAGAACGGTGTCCGGCACAAAGTCAGCCCTCAGTACATAGTGGGCATAGAATGTTACTTAGATGATTCACAAAAAGATGTCAACCTGGATAAGGCAAAAATGTATATATTTTAACTGATTATTAATTTAAAAGTCAGAAGGAGGGAGAGCAAGGTCTCTTTTCCTGCCTTGGCCAGGCTGAAGTGAGGAGTCTAGAATTCCAGCATGTCTCCCATGTGGGTGACAGGGGCTCGGAGACTTGTGCCACCCTCTGCTGCTTTCCCAGGAGTATTAGCAGGAAACTGGATTCAAAGTGGAGCAGCTAGGACTCGAATTGGCACTCTGATTACTGGCATTGTAAGCAGCAGCTTGACCCACTGCACCATAAACTGGCTGAATGTCTTTCGCATTAAGTCAGGACTGCAGTTGTTCCAGTGAAAGGAGATGACTGTAAACCTGTTGCTGTTTTTCTTACTCTTTGGCCTGGTGTGATGGCTGAATGGTTAAATCCTATCCACAAGCACCGGGATCCCATATGGGCACCAGTTAGTGTCCTGCTGCCCTGCTTCCCTTCCAGCTGCCTACCTGTGGTCTGGGAAAGCAGTGGAGGATGGCCCAAGAGCCTGGGGACCCTGCACCAGCATGGGAAACCTGGAAGAAGCTCCTGGCTCTTGGCATCAGATCAGCTCAGCTCCAGCCATTACAGCCATTTAAGGAGTGAATCAGAGGAAGATCTTTTTCTCTTTCTCTTTTTATCTGCTTCTCCCCATAAATCTGACTTTCCAATAAAAATAAATCTTTTTTTTAAAAAAAAGATTAGATTTGTTTTCCCTGGAAAGACACACTTAACTCCCCTAGTGGCTCCAACGGCTGGAGTTGAGCTGTTCAGAAGCAAGGGGCCAGGTGCTTCTGGGTCTCCTATGTGGGTGAAGGATCCCAAGGTTTTGGATCATCCTCCACTGCTTTTCCAGGCCATTAGCAGGAAGCTGGATGGGAAGGGGAGCAACTGGGACATGAACCAGCGCCCACATGGCACTTACAGGGGGAGGATTAGCCACACGGGACGCCTCTTGCTGCTTTTTGTCTTTGCCTGAGCTTGGTCCTGATTCTTCTCCTTCAAAAGAGACAAACTCAACTGTTTTAGCAACTATTACGCACATAGGTGCATTTCTCCTTCTGTTTCTTAATGACAAGTTAGCCACTTTTGTGGTTCCGTAGGTTAGAGCATATTTCTGTTGAGGTTGGAGTTAATTACTAAAATGTTTAAAAACTATTTGAAACACGGGCTGTTGAAAAGACATGCTTCAGCCATATGTCTACTGTAAAAGAAAGCCTCGAGTGTTCTCGCATTAGCCATTGGTGGAACAGGAAACCTTTGCAGCCCAAGTCACCACCTTGAACCTGCTGAATCTGAAATTCCAGAGTTGTGTGGTTTAAACTTACATAGTTGCTTCTTTTATGTATTGTCATCTCAGAGAACATAACACTTGTCCCTGCTATGTGCAGTTTTAAATATGACTGTCCTGGTAAGTGGTCCCATACTGAGCCACTTTTATGTATAAGGATAACACTATCCTTTGGAGTGTTAGTGTAGTGCCAACTTTCCCTGGTTAAAGAGATTAATTTGGGTAGAGTCTAATTTCAACTTCATTTCCTAATGTTGAGTTAGGAATGTGACATCAAAAGAAGAAATAAATATTTGGCAGCTCAGGTATTTAAATCTTTTCTTTTTTTAATATTTATTTATTTTTATTGGAAAGGCAGATATACAGAGAGGAGGAGAGACAGAGAGAAAGATCTTCCATCTGATGATTCACTCCCCAAGTGACTGCAACATCCGGTGCTGTGCTGACCCGAAGCCAGGAGCCAGAAACTTCCTCCAGGTCTCCCACGTGGGTGCAGGGTCCCAAGGCTTTGTGCCATCCCCGGCTGCTTTCCCAGGCCAGAAGCAGGGAGCTGGATGGGAAGTGGAGCTGCCAGGATTAGAACCAGCACCCATGTGAGATCCTGGCACGTTTAAGAGGAGGACTTCAGCCACTAGGCCACGCTGCCAGACCCAAATTTTTTCTTTCTTTTTTTCATGTCCGTAACTGTCCTGCTTATAAATCAGCTTTTTTTTTTTTTTGAAGACTTTAATTTTTATTGGATATACAGATTTACAGAGGGGAAAGAAAAAGATGTTCTGGCTGCTGGTTCACTTCCCAGATGGGTGGAATGGCCTGAGCTGAGATGATCCAGTGTCAAGAGCCACGAATTTCTTCTGGGTCTCTCACGTGGGTGCAGGGTCTCAAGGCTTTTGGGTCATCCTCCACTGCTTTCCCAGACCACAAATGGAACTGGATGGGAAGCGGAACAGCCAGGACACGACCAGTGCCCATATGGGCTTTGCAAGGGGAAGATTAACTGGTTGAGCCAACGCTTCTGCCCCTATAAATCAGCTTTTATCTTGGAGTAAATGTGAATTGGGTGATTGAACGGCACGCAGCATGTAGCAGTGCTAGGTAATGCTTAGTTGAAAGACTAAATTGATGTTTTCAACTAAAATGGGCTTCATTGTTTTTCTTCCTCTCTTTTTATTCCACTTCTGAAGTGTCCTTCCTGTCCTGTGGATCAGTGTTTCCCAGGTTGCCAAAATCGAGCATCAGTGTGGTTTGTCTCAGAATCATCAAGGCCTAACATTTTCCTTTTGTCTCTTGCCTCGGTGCCCTTCCCTTCAATCACATGCTTGATACTATTTGTCTGGACCAGTTCCCCACTCTCTCTGCTGTTCCTTTTCAGGCCCTCTCTCACTCTATTTAAAAAAGCTTAAAGGGCCTGGCGCGGTGGCCTAGCAGCTGAGGTCCTCACCTTGAATGTGCCAAGATAACACATGGGCGCCGGTTCTACTCCCGGCAACCCTGCTTCCCATCCAGCTTCCTGCTTGTGGCCTGGGAAAGCAGTCGGGGATGCCCATAAACCTTTGGACCCTGCACCCACGTGGGAGACCTGGAGGAAGTTCCTGGCTCCTGGCTTCAGATCGGCACAGCACTGGCTGTTGTGGCCACTTGAGGAGTGAACCATCAGATGGAAGATCTTCCTCTCTGTCTCTTATAATAAAATGAAAATAAAAATGCCTTTCCAATAAAAAATGAATAAATGCCTTTCCAATAAAAATGAATAAATCTTAAAAAAAAAAAAAAAAAGCTTAAAAACCTTGCTGAATTTTAAGCCCAGAGGCCTCCTTGACTGTCAAGATCCTTTGCCACGTGACTTCAGTTTACTGTGTCAGTCTTAACTCCTCTGGGTTACGTGCCCTGTCTAACTGTGCTTGGTAGACTCTGTCACTGGGCTCTGCTCTGCTTGACAGGGCTTCCTGTCACCTGCATGGTGACAGAGCTGTCGCTATCAAAGCCGGAGTCAAATTCTGCCACCCTCTGCTGCGATTCTCCTAGTCAAAAGCTCCAAGCGTTCAGTAGTTCCTCTGTTTTTTTTATGGTCGATCTTCCATCCTGTATCTTGTGTTCCAGTTACTTATGTCTGTGTTTCGTCCTGTCTTAAAAAGGTCGAGGAATCATCCTTGCTTTTATCTCTCACTGCACCTAACCCAAAGCCTTGCAGCTACTCTCAACAATGAACTTTGCTCAGAATTCATTGCAGAAAAAGAGGGGAAGTTCAGTCTGAAGCTGTCATTTTAATTACACACAGGTGTGGGAAATGCTACTGCCTGTGTCTTACATGAAGTTATCTATGTCATTGGCGGTCACTGCGGCTACAGAGGAAGCTGCACCTATGACAAGGTCCAGAGCTACAATTCTGATATCAATGAATGGAGCCTCATCACCTCCAGTCCACATCCAGGTAACACAATACCTTCTCAAAGATGTGTGTTGTGCTGCTGTTTAGCACATGGCTTAGCTAAAAATAGGCCGGAAATAGAAAAGTGCTAACATTATGGAATACTATGCATAAATGTAATTAAAAAGCTTAGCAATATTTTTGTATGTTCATGTGATAATTATTAGATTCCAGTTAGGTAGTGTCTATAATTATTTTTGATGTCTAGAACTATTTTTTGATAGTCTATGTGTATGGAAATAATAGATCCTTTTTAAATGTTTTTTCACTTAGGTTTTTTTCTTGTATTTTAGTTTGTTATGGACTTTAATGTAGGCTATATATAAAAATGCTAATTTTTAGGGCCTGGCGTGGTGGCGCAGTGGTTAAGGTCCTCGCCTTGCACGCCCGGGATCCCATATGGGCGCTGGTTCTATCCTGGCAGCCCCGCTTCCCTTCCAGCTCCCTGCTTGTGGCTCAGGAAAGCAGTCGAGGATGGCTCAAAGCTTTGGGACCCTGCACCCGCGTGGGAGACCCGGAAGAAGTTCCTGGATCCTTGCTTCAGATCGGCATAGCATCGGCCGTTGCACTCATTTGGGGAGTGAATCATCAGACAGAAGATCTTCCTCTCTGTATATCCGCCTTTCCAATAAAAAAAATAATAAAAATAAATCCTTTAAAAAAAAATCTTTAAAAAATGCTATTTTTTTAAAGATTTGCTTGTTTTTATTTGAAAGGCAGATTTTACAAAGAGAGAGGGAGAAGTAGAGAGGTCCATCCAGTGGTTCACGCCGTAAACGGCCAGAGCTAAGGTGCTCTGAAACGAAAGCCAGGAGCTTCTTTCTTTCTTTTTTTTTTTTTTTTAGATTTATTTCATTTTTATTGGAAAGGCGGATATACAGAGAGGAGAGACAGAGAGGAACATCTTCCGTCTGATGATTCGCTCCCCAAGTGAGCGCAGCAGCCGATGCTATTCCGATCCGAAGCCAGGAGCCTCTTCCGGGTCTCCCATATGGGTGCAGGGTCCCAAGGCTTTGGGCCGTCCTCGACTGCTTTCCCAGGCCACAGGCAGGGAGCTGGAAGGGAAGTGGGGCCGCCGGGTTAGAACCGGCGCCCATATGGGATCCAGGCATGCAAGGCGAGGACCTTAACCACTGCGCCATTGTGCCGGGCCCCCAGGAACTTCTTTCAAGTCTCCCCTGTGGGTACAGGGGCCCAACGAGGTGAACTATCCTCCAGTAGTTCCCCAGACTGCTAGCACAGAGCTGGATCAGAAGTAAAGCAGTCAGGACATGCTCTTTTACCCATACAGGATGATAGCGCTTGCAGGAAGATTAACTTGCACTAGCCCCTGTCAGTTAGGGTTGGGCCATTCTCCACTGCTTTCCCAGGGCACAAGCAGAGAGCTGGATGGGAAGTGGAGCTGCTGAGATATGAACCATCATCCATCCAGAGACAGAGAGGAAAATCTTCTGTCTATTCATTCACTCCCCAAGTGGCCACAACAGCCAGAGCTGCCCTGACTGAAGCCAGGAGCCCAGAGCCTCCTCCAGTTCTCTCATTTGAGTGCAGAGTCCCAAGGCTTTGGGCCATCCTCAACTGCTTTCTCAGTCCGTGAGCAGTGAGCTGGATGAGAAGCAGGACCACCGGTATTAGAAAAAGTGCCCATAAGGAATCCTCGTGCCTGCAAGGTGAGGACTTTAGGTAGGCCACTGCACTGGGCCCTTCCACCTAGTATTTTTTTTTTTAATTTTTATTTATTTTTATTGGAAAGGCAGATATACAGAGAGGAGGAGAGACAGAGAGGAAGATCTTCCATCCATTGATTCACTCCCTAAGTGGCTGCAACGGCTGGAACTGAGCCAATCCAAAGCTAGGAGCCAGGAACTTCTTTCCAAGTCTCCCACATTGGTGCCGGGTCCCAATGCTCTGGGCCGTCCTTGACTGCTTTCCCAGGCCACAAGCAGGGGGCTGGATGGGAAATAGAGCTGCCGGGGGAAGTTAAGCTGCCAGGATTAGAACCAGCGCCCATATGGGATCCTGGCGCATTCAAGGTGAGGACTTTAACCACTATGCTATTGTGCCAGGCCCCCCACCTAGTATTTTTTCAAGGTCAGATTCTAGTCCAAATAGTCTGACTTGGAAACTGTGCCTTTTGTTTTGTTTTGGAACCTATTTTTGTTGTTGTTTGTTTGTTTTGTTTTGTTTTGTTTTTAATTGGAAAAGCAGATGTACAGAGAGGCAGAGAGACGGGAAGATCCTGTTTTGAAATCTATATTCTTACGAACTTTATCTTATTTAAACCTTAAAAGTTAGATGTTATTCTGCCTATTTCATGGAAAGATTTATCTTAAAATCCAATACCTAAAACGTGAGACTAACAAATTATAGCGTAGTTATGTCCATTATGAATTTACTATGAATATTTTTATAGAGACCCAAAATACAAGCATCCCATTTGTTAGCTATTTTGAAATCTAAAAGGGAGTACTTCTGTCAAAGTACTAAAAGCCATGAAAGATTGAAAATCAACCCAAAGCAATAATCAAATTACAGTAAAAATCAACAGGAACATATAATTTCACTTAGAAAGTTTCAGTTTGGGGGCCTGGCACTGTTGCCTAGCAGCTGAAGTCCTCTCCTTGCACATGCTAGGATCCCATGTGGGCAACGAACGGCTCTAATCCCGGCAGCCCATTTCCCACCCAGCTCCCTGCTTGTGGCCTGGGAAAGCAGTCGAGGACGGCCCAAAGCTTGGGACCCTGCACTTACACGTAGGAGATCTGCAGAAAGCGCCTACTTGCGGATCAGTTCTGCTCCGGCCATTGCGGCCATTTAGGGAGTGAATCATTGAATCTTCCTCTCTGTCTCTCCTCCTCTCTATATACTACATATCTGATTTTGCAATAAAAAGTAAATAAATCTTTAAAAAGTTTCAGTTTGTATTGAACTTTTTCTTGAGAAAATGGACATTCCAAATTACCACCTTGTGTGATATATGCCGGAAGGCTCTCAGTTATTAGAACATTTTTGACCTGGCCTGCAGCACGTATTTACAATTCAGGCAAGTTAATGTAAAAATCATGATTTCTGACCTTAACAAAAATTGTAAGATCTGGCACCCCTGCTACCCATTCAGCAGCCATTGCTGTTGGGGTGCCTGTGTTCTCCTCTTGACCCGGCTGCCCCACAGTGTCTTCCATTCTGGTCCCATCGCACATGTAGGCTGCTGCTTTACCTCTTTCGACCTGCTTTTTTGGCAGTTTATTATCCTCTTAAGCTCTTAAATGTGTATGCAGCAGCCTTCACTGACTTAATGGCAAGGGGTGCTGCCTACACATTTCATAGCACCTGCCTGAGGAAGGCAAAATGTCAGTATGGATTCAGCTTTATACAGATCCATGGCTTAGACCCAAAAGAAATGACTATTATTATTTTAAAAGATATTACAAGTGTTATCTTTTTATCTTAATCTCTTTGAGCGGTAAATGTGTATAACTGAAAATCATGAGACCATATAATTTTATAAATTCGAGATGATATGTTTTGAAACCCTACATCAGGAAAGCTTATATTCTAGCAATTATGTAAGACACAAAGATAGATAAGTTCCATTCTGTGTCTACCACAGAATCTGGTAGCAACTATCCATGAAAGTGGGACAGTTCTTGGGAGATTCTGTATATACAAATGCTATTGAAATTGAGAATAGAGAGAATTTGAATTTACTCCCCAGATGGCCTCAATGCCATGGCAAGGCCTGGCAAAATTCAAGAGCTGGGAGCTTTATCTGGGTCTCTCTCATGTGTGGCTGGGACCCAAGCATTTGGGCCATCTTCTGCTGCTTTCTTAGGCCATTAGAAGGGAGTTGGATTGGAAGTGTTGTGACTGGGACATGAAATGGCATGCATGTGGGATGCCAGCGTTGAAGGCTGTGGTCTTCCTTGCTATATCACTGCACTGGCTCCAGGAAAGCAGTTTATGAAGAAAGGCTTTTCTGGCAGGAAGTCAGCCCAATAAGGAAGGAGAGGAAGCTGCAGGTATCTTATTTTCTTGGGAGTAGACATGAATGAAATAAATATAAGAAAGTAGAGTTAGAGATTAGGATGGGAGAGTTCAGTTATGGAACATATCATGGAAGGCTTTGAATGGTATGGTCTGAAACATTTAGCAGGGGTAGGGAATGTGTGGCTCACAGATAATAGCTCAAAACCTACAAAATGATTTCATCTGGTCCTGTCAAGGCAACCGCAGATGGGCCTCAGTGAATCTGTAGCAGACTAATTTTTAAGTTGATAGTTTTGTATGGCCCATGAGTGATGTGATTAAGAATCCAAATGGCCCTTGGCAGGACAAAAATGTTCCTCAGCCCAAATAATGGAGACCCATCAAAGGTTACAGAGTCTTGGTTTCAAGATAATTCCTTTAAGATTAGACCGAGAGGAAGGGAGATCTGCTCAGACTATTGTAACAAATCAGGTGAGAGATGCAGAGAAAACCTTAAGTGGGAGGTGTGGATGAGAGGGGCCAATGAGAGGAGTAGGGTTGACTCAGTGGCTAGTTGCCTCCTTGGCTGGCTGAGGGTATACAGGAGATAAGGGGAGAAAGGAATTGACAGCCATTCCAAGGTCCTCGGCCAGTTGCCTGGGAGGATGGTACATACTGAAAGAGGAACCGAGAGTTGGGAATGGTAGGAAGATGATGAGCTCACTTTTGTAGCTTCGGGTGAAAGGCTAGTTGGATAGCCTAAAAGAGCTGTCCAGCAAGCAGTGGAAAATGTGGGTCTGCGATTTCAGGAGGAAGGATGTAGCTAAATATAGAGATCTGGGAATTGTTTGCTTGCTTGATGGCCATGGGGATGAGGCTGAATAAGATGCCTTGGGAAAGTGCAAAGAGCAGACAGCTGTGGGCAGAATCCTGGGAAATGACCTGACCTGGGAAGAACATGTGAGAAGCAGTACTTGATCGATGGGCAAGTGGCTTAAACTCTGGAGCCTAACTTACCAGTAAAATAAGGAACCTAGTCTGATCCCAGTTTCTTGCAAAGTGGTCTCTTGAAGCCAGCCGACAATGGCTTCCTGCCGCACATGTGGGAGACCCAGATGAAGTTTTAAGCTCCTGGCTTTGGCCTGGCCTCATCCTGGCTGTTGTGGGTACTTGTTGAATGAATCAGCAGGCAATTAATAGATTTTTCTCTTCTCTTTTTCTTTTTTCCTTCCTTCCTTCCTTCCTTCCTTCCTTCCTTCCTTCCTTCCTTCCTTCCTTCCTTCCTTCCTTCCTTCCTTCCTCCCTCCCTCCCTCCCTCCCTCCCTCTCTTGTTTCCTTCTTTCCTTCCTTCTTCCCTTTTTCCCCCTCTGTTCCTCCCTTCTTCCCCTGTTTCTTTCAAATAAAAATGAAAGTCAGTCTGGGGTCACCACTGCTGTGTAGTAGGCTAAGGGATGCACCTGCAGCACCAGCATCCCTTATGGGCACCAGTTTGTGTCCCACCTGCTCCACTTCAAACTGAGCTCCCTGCTTATGTCCTGGGAAAGCAATGGAGGATGGCTCAAATCCCTGGGCCCTTGCACCCACATGGGAGACCTTCAGGTCAGCTTAGGTCTGGTTGTTGCAGATATTTGGGGAGTGAACCAATGGATGGAAGTTCTCTCTCTCTGTGTCTCTGTCTCTCTCTCCTCACTCCTATCTGAAACTCTGCCTTTGCAATAAAAAGAAACCCTAAAAAGTGAAAATCTATCAATAAATAAAGTAAAAATAAAGAAACTAGACTGTATACATTTTACAGGTCCTTTCAGTAAGAAATATCTTATGAAAACAACTTAATTGCATTTGCATTCATTATTATTGTTGTCTCTGAGCCCTTGCATTACTTTGTTCATGTCACTCATGCCATACTGAATAGACAGTGCCACATCTTTGCTTGATATTTATGTGTTAACTCTTTAAGCTGTGGTTGGCAACATTATTCCGTGCGTAGTTTGGAGCATAGTAAAGAAGACATAGTACTTTACCCTTAGTAGTTTCGAAGAGTTGACAAGGAAAAGGGCAGGTAGGGTTGAAGAAGTAAAAGTTCCCATCAACAGTAATAGTATTTCGGTAGCAGGAGGAAAACCTGTCAATAAGACATCATTCGAAGCATCTTTGGTGCTACAGGAAGATTGAGATTATCTGTTTTAACACAAGAATCAAATAAGGGTCCAGCATTGTGGCACAGTGAGTAAAGCTGTTGCCTTCACGGCCAGCATCCCATGTGGGTACCAGTTCAAATACTGCTTGCTCCCTGGTCCAGCTCCCTGCTAATGCACTTAGGAAAACGGATAGGATGCCCCAAGTGCTGAGGTTCCTGGCCCCACCTGGGAGACACAGATTAAGTTCCTGGCTGCTAGATTTGCTCTGTCCCAGTCCTGAGCCCGTTTGGGGAGTGAACCAGTGAATGGCGATTCTCTTTCCCTCCATCTGTGTAACTTTGCCTTTCAAATAGATAAGTCTTCATAATTAGAGTAACATAATATTTTACAAATATTTGAAACAGCTTAGTGTTACAAAGCCCTATATGCATGTTACTGGAAAATACTCAATAAGTTTTTTTTTAAAGAGACTTTTTCTTTTATTTTAAAGGCAGCTTTAGAGGCAGACAGAGATATTCTGTCCATGAGTTTATTCCCCAACTGGCCACAGTAGCCAAAGTTGGGAGTCAGGCGTCCTTGACACTTGTGCCATTCTCCACTGCTTTCCAAGGCCCTTGACAGGGAACTGGATCGGAAGTGAAGCAGATGGGACTCGAACCACACTAAGGCCAAGGCTTAGTGTGCTACACCATGGCACTGTTCTCCTTTATATATATTTTTTTAAGTCAGTGAGTTTTTATGAAGTAAGAGAATTTTTATTTTCTTAGAAGTCAGACACTTGAAAGTAGTACGTGGATTCGAAGCCTATCTTCCAAGACTTTCCTTAGTATTCAAAACTTTGATAGGATGAACTCTACAGATAAGAGGTTGGCTTCCTTTCTTAGAGAAAATCATAGTCCTCTTCCTACATGCTGTCTAAAGAGGAGTTAGTCAGTCTATAAGAAAAGCAACAATAACATGGGCACACATTGAGGTATAGAAGGGGACAGGTACAGCTCATTCATTAACCCAGTAAGCCTCTTTAGGTTTCTTATGTGCCAGCCACTTGCCGTTCTCCAACTGGGTATAGAGCAGTGGACAGGAAATAGTTACTGCTCTGTTAGGATGGGAAGCAAGACATGAAATACACCAGATAACAAGAAGTGCCATGGAGACAAAGTACAGAGATGCCTTGACTGGCCACTTCATTATGGATGTTCAGGGAGAGCTCTCCTAGGAGGTGATGGTAAGATAAGATTTGAGTGGCACAAAGGAGGCAGCTGTGCACAGACCTGCGAGGTAGACAGCTGTGTATTGGCAGTGAGCATTTTCCTAGCTGTGATTTAAGTGTCACTGACAAATCCTCCTCTTCCTGCAGGACTGCAGCTGCAAGTACTTATGTGTGTTTTGTGGCTGATATCTCAGAGTGAACATACAGGCTGGGAGTGATGCTAAAAGTAGGGGCTAGGGTGAGGCAGGCAACGCACTGAAGGCACAGAATTTGAGGAATCCTTCTTGTATTTTACAGCCTAGGTCCCTCACTAGCTTGCTCCTCCCCACAACAGGACAGTAGGCTTGTGAGCTATCCTGTGCTTTGAAGTGCAAGCAGGTTAGAGTGCAGAGAAGGAGGTAAAAAAAAAAAAAAATGAGAAACACTACAGTAACCCAGGAGGTGGACATGTCAGGGTCAGACCCCTTGCCCAGGACCACAACCCTGCCAAGCAGCCCCTTGCCTGAGGGTGCTTGTTAGAATCTGTGAGAATGACAGTTGCTCTGCTTCACAGAGATGGGTGTATGTTTCTCTAATTTCTGGCATCCCTACCTGCCAGCAGTGTGGGAAAAGCAAGCCATACCATCTTGTGTGGCACCGGTAACAGCAGACACTTGAGAGTACCCGCCGCTGGTGGCAGGAATAGCTGCTGAGCCCTGGAGGGACCAACCCCAGTTCCCTGGTGGGCCTGCCTGTGGGCGGCGGGGGGGGGGGGGGGGAATGTTGCTCCACTGTGCCTATTGTTTACAGGTGACAGCAAATCCTGGGTGTCTGTGTTGGGCAAGCTGCAGAAGGGCAGTGATCTGAGTATGAGTTCTTTCTTGGCACTTGCAGGGCCAATTTAAGGACGGCTATGTAGCAAGAACACATAGATGGATGTTCAGTGTCAATATGCAGCAGTGTGGACCAGAATTAAACTGTCATCACTACGTGTGTGTGTGTGTGTGTGTGTGTGTGTGTGTGTGTGTGTGTGTGTGTGTGTGTGTACGTGCGCTAAATCATAGAGGGTCATGAAATCACCATACTATGGTAACTCTTATTTGTCTTTCTACAAAATCTTTCTTTTTAAAAGAATACGGATTGTGCTCAGTTCCATTTGAAAACAAGCTGTATCTAGTTGGCGGACAAACTACAATCACAGAGTGCTACGACCCTGAACAAAACAAGTGGAGGGAAATTGCTCCCATGATGGAAAGAAGGATGGAGTGTGGTGCTGTCATCATGAACGGATGCATTTATGTCACTGGAGGATATTCCTACTCCAAGGGAACATATCTTCAGAGCATTGAGAAATATGATCCAGAGCTGAATAAGTGGGAAATTGTGGGTAACCTTCCCAGTGCCATGCGGTCTCATGGATGTGTTTGTGTGTATAATGTCTGATGGTAACTACAGAAATGACCAAGTTATCACTGTTTCTGGGTGAGTGAGAAGAAAAATCAGGGAAGGATACAGGGTATGGAATTCCCTACTGATTGTGGTCTGGCAATGTCAGAACCCTACTGTGCTCCCAAAGCCAGTGATAAATAGTCAAGAAGAACCATCTGCATATATACAGTTGAATTAGTGGAGGAGGTAACTCCTATAGTTTTTGCTTTCCAAAGGTCATCGGGGATATTTGATTTTAGTATAAGGTGAAAGAACCTTTGTAGGGCATCTTTTCTTCCTGGTAGCGTCAACACTGGGTGTAGATCAAAATCATTCTTTGTACTGAGATGTGTCTTCAGAGCCTATAATGTAATGGAAGTATCTATTAAGTTCCATGTATCCAACAAGAATTTGAAATTTAAAGAGGGAACCTTCTCTACCTCTACAAAACCTACATTGAAAATGTTTTTCACCTTTATTTCACAGTATTTGGAATGTGAAATTATTTTAAGTATGCTTTTTTTAATCTTTGTACTATATCTAATTTATTGTTTTTCTTTATTCACTGACTACCAGAGATAGACAAAATAGTATGTGAAATATTGTTACTGTTCAAATAGTTTACAAACTAGATTTGAAAGACCAAGTCTGTAAAATTGCAGAGATAATACTCGAACATTTGCCAGTGGTATGGGCTATTTGTAATTTTTTGCTTTGGTGCACATTGCTTGTGTAGGTCTTTAAGCATGACAGAAAATTTAGGCTTATATGTAGATGTGTGTCTGCATCTAAAATTGAGTTTCTGAACAAGAAAACATGTAAATCAGTTGTGTGATAGTAGAAAATAAATTGACAGAAAGAAATTTACGTTAATTTTCTAGCTCTTCTACTAGCTAGCTTTGTGGCTTGAGTTGCTTAACCTTTCCTTGATTAGACCTGCCAGCACTGGCACTGTGGGTCATAATTGTGCCTAGGTACAGATCCCTCCTGTCCTGCAGCCAGGGGTGGCTTGAGTGACATCTGCCTCTGGTTCAGAAACCCCGTTTTCCATTTCCTCCAGTGTGCCTACAGGACTGCTTTCCAGAGGTACCATAATGTGGGAAACGTTTGGAAGCACTGCTTTAGATAACTCACCTCGACTTTTAGTTATCGAGATGTCATCTATTCTACCCTCTTTGTTTTTTGAAAAAAAAAAGTAATATTTTTAACTTTAAATTCTCAAATTTAAGACTACCTAATACTTTGACTTAATAAACTTTTAGAAAACTGTTTAGTGCATTAATTCCAGGTACCATTTTTGCTTTAAAGGTTTATTTTATTTTTATTGGAAAATCAGAGCTACAGAGAGAAGAGACAGAGAGGCAAGATCTTCCATCCGCTGATTCACTCCGCAGGTGGCCGCAGTGGCTGGAGCTGAGCCAATCTAAAGCCAGGAGCCAGGAGTTTCTTCTGGGTCTCCCATATGGGTGCAGGGTCCCAAGGCTTTGGGCCGTCCTCGACTGCTTTTCCAGGCCACAAGCAGGGAGCTGAATGGGAAATGGAGCAGCCAGGATTAGAACCAGTGCCTAAATGGGATCTTGTTGGATGCAAGGTGAGGACTTTAACTACTTAGGCTACCACGCCAAACCCTTCAGGTAGCATTTTAATACAACTCTTTGAATGTACAATATGGTAGGACAGAGTAAGGGTCATAAAAATGACTCTTTCCTTTGCTCCCTAAATTCTTTTGACCTGAAGGATAATACACAAAAAAGTGAATGCATGAAGGTGTTTATATCTATGCTAGTTATAAATACCAAGAAGTTGGAAATAGTTACAAGTCACAGAATAAAGTGGGCTAATAAAATAGGGAAGTGTTACAGTGCCACTAAAGTAATTATTTGGAAGTCTGTAAACACATGAATGTTTCCAGGCTATGGTAAGTAAAATGAGCTCGTTACAAAATGGTATGCATACTATGGTTGTAACTCTGTAAAGTACGCATGTGGGAGGCAGTGTGCAAAGGAAATCTATTGTGTTAGTATAGAAGCGATATGGAATGATGCTTAATTTATTTAATCCTTCTTTAATACTACTTTGTACTTTCAAAAAATAAATAAATTACTATATTCGTGGTAAGTCTGCTTGAATGTAGGCCACTTGGGTTGACAATCTGAATTAGTGAAGCAACTGATAGAGACTATTTCAAACTATAATTGAATTACAGCATTCTCTTTTTTATTCTCAAGGCGATTCAGTTATTAATACTGGATTAATAATGTATTGCCCAGTAGCACTTTAGCAATCAGCTTTGTGGGACAGGTGAGAGCAGTTATATGATCACTCTATGTCCTGCTCTGACAGTTTCTCTACATCCCATAAAGCCCAGATGCAGACCCAGACTGCTCTGGGAGTTCTTTCCTGTCTCAGACACAGTAGAAGTCCCACTATCACCACTGAAGTATTGACTGCAGGGCTGCTGTCATTGTGGCACAATAGGTTAAGCTGCCACCTGAGATGCCAGCCTCCTAGCAGCAATTCAAAGTCCTGATCGTTCCACTTTCTGTCTAGATCCTTACTAATGTTCCTAAGGAAACAGCAGCAAATGACCTAAAGCTTTGGACTCTGCTGCCCTTGTAGAACAGGCTGGAGGTCCTGGGTTCAGGGCTTGTTCTGGCCCAGCCCCGACCATTGCATCTTTTTGGGACTGAACAGCTGCATTGGGAGTCCATCTTTAGCCTGGAAGTAGAGATGCATACTGCATTGTATCCTCACATCTGGATATGATAGTCTCCATTACACAGTTACTATACATCCCCTTAAATGAAAAGCCACAAAACGAAATAAACAGCAGGAAGAAAAAAAAGAAATTAGTAATACCATGAAGTTAAATAACATGCTACTGAATGACTAATGTGTCACTGAAGAAATGAAAAAAAAATGAAGAACCTTCTTAAAGAAAATGGTGCTTCTGTATGATCTATGAGTCATTGAAGAATTCAATCAGAACAAAGTGTTTTGAAGAGATGAAATTAACAAAAAAATCCAAAATCCAGCAGCCTAGAGCCTCCTCCAGGTCTCCCACACTGGTGTAGGGTCCCAAAGCTTTGTGGGCCGTCCTCAACTGCTTTTCCAGGCTACAAGCAGGGAGCTGAATGGGAAGTGAGGATCTGGTATTAGATAGTCTCAGTTTTGCCTGTTCATGCTGTTCTCTTTGTCCTCTCAGTTTGGTAACACGAATGGATAGCTGGTTGTTTTGTTTTGTTGAATTTCTGTCTGGAGCAACCAAGAAAGCAATGACTAATTCAAACTCTGTCCCTTGTGTGTGTGTATATATATATATATATATATATATATATATATATATATACATTTGTTTAAAGACTTTTTTATTGGAAAGGCAGATTTACAGAGAGAAGGAGAGACACACAGATCTTTCATCCGCTGCTTCATTCCCCAATAGCTGTAATACTTGAAGCTGAGCCAATGAGAAGCCAGGACCCAGAAGCTTCTTCCTGGTCTCCCACATGGGTGCAGGATCCCAAGGCTTAGGGCCATGCTCTATTGCTTTCCCAGGCCACAAGCAGGGAGCTAGAAGGGAAGTGGAACAGCCAGGAAACAAACTGGTGCCCTTATGGAATGCCAGCAATTGCAATGCAAGGATTTAACCATTAGGTTATCACATTGGACCTCCTGCCTAAATATATTTTTTTAATTTATTTTCAGCTGCCTAACTATTATATGGTCACTTACCATTAGATTTAGGGCCTAGCTAGATAATCTGGAATATCATCAGGATTATAATTGTACTTGAACATTTTCCAATGAAGGTGAAATTCATGGACTCCAGGGACCAGGATGTGGACATACGGGCATGAGGAAATTGTCAGTGTTCAACTCACTTCATCACCCAAGTATAATCCCTGAATGCTGTTTTATCTTTGCTTTTGCTTTGACCTTTCGCATCCTTCTTCTGTATGTCGCCATCCGTCTCCTTGGCATAACCCCTGGCATAACCTCTGGCAATGTATTTGTTGAAGTAGTGGATCATACAGTCTACTTCCCCAACATTGGAATTGTACTGAATGTGTTTATATTTTGTAGTTTAGCATGTTCTGTTCATATAAGCTGGGGGTGAAGACCTAGAGGCTTGATTGGATTTATATTTTTCTTTTTCTTTTTTTGAGAGGGTTACTTCATAAGTGATATGTTTGTCAAAAGGCATCTATCTAATGGCTGGTCATCTCTTTGTAGTGATAGCAGCCAGAGATATTCAGTACCTGGAAGTTTTTTTTTTGATTTGATTTGATTTGGGAAGCCCCCCAAACTCTCACCCTGCAACAGTTATTCCCCATGTTGCTACAATAGTATAGTCCTTCATAAGGAGTCATAATTCCATCAGTCTTTTATCAGTCCCCGACATCGCTGGTACAGACAGTGTCAGTCCGGCATCCAATTGTCTACACATTTCCAACAGTTTCATTGGGAGTTCATCTTTTGTCTGGAAACCAGAATACATGTTGCATTGTGCCCCACATCTGGATATGGTAGACCCCAGTACTCCATCACTATACATTTCAATAATTGATAAGCCATGAAGCAAGGTCAACAACTGGTATGAATTAGAACACCAGCCACCACAACAAATTGCAGCATGAAAAACCACGCCACTGAGTAATCAACACATGAGTGACAAAAAAAAAAAAACAACACATAAGTCTCTTGGAACCAGCGATGAATTCCACAAGAGAAAAGAAAGTATTTGGAATAAATGAAACTGAAATCAAAAACATCAAAACAAATGGGATGCAGCCAGAAAAACCCAGTATGGGTCAGGTTATTGAAGTTACACTTTCCATGATGTCTAATATCAGGTTTCCTTATATTATAGAGAACATATGGTATTTGTTCTTTTGTGATTGACTCATTTCACTGAGCAAAATGGTCTCTAATTGGGACTAGCTAGTTGCAAATGGCATAATTTCATTCTTCTTAATAGCTAAATAATATTCCATGGAGTAGATGTACCACGGTTTCTTTTA